TATTGACATTTTTTAAGATATAAGCTCATCTTGACGTTACACTCATCGAGACCTTTCATTTGAGTACCCACATGGCTAGTTTTATATATTTTATATATATGATATTGTGAAATATATAAATATATAAAATATATGAAAAATTGATGTGGGTACTCAAATGAAAGGTCTCGATGAGTGTAACATCGGGACGAGCTTATATTTTAAAAAATATCATTAGTTGACAAGATACAATGTCATTTCTTAATTATTGATATTTTTAAAGATATAAACTCATTTCGATGTTATACTCATCGAGACCTTTCATTTAAGTACCCACATGGTATTTTTCATATATTTTATATGTATGGTATTTGTGGAATATATAAATATATAAAATATATGAAAAATTGATGTGGGTACTCAAATGAAAGGTCTCGATGAGTGTAACATCGGGATGAGCTTATATTTTTAAAAATATCATTAGTTGACAAGATATAATGTCATTTCTTAATTAGTGACATTTTTTAAGATATAATTTATTTATATTGTAAATTAAAAAAAAAAAATTACTGTACCATTCGGATTAAGAGATTCACTTTGACTGGGAAGAGGTTCAGTTTGCGTTGAAAAATTTTTCACACGCGAGAATGGTCGCAAGAGTTTATAACTCAGAGCTGAAATAAAATTTCACTTATTAATTTACTGTTATAAGAATAATAATTTAATTAATTAATTAATCAACAAAATTAATGAATTATTTTACCTTTACCGGATGATATTCTAATAGAGTGACCCAACATTGTCACTTTACTTGGTAAATATATTCTTGACAAGTAAAACAAAAATTACAAATACTTGGTTAGTTAATTTTCATATTTTTTTCACAGGTCAGCACATTAATATTTTATTTATATCAAACAAATTTATTTATTGATCTTAACATTAAAATTCACTATTGGTCACAAGAGGTGTTGAAAAGCAGAGCTGGTTTTTGAGGTTATATTTGTTTTTCTTATCTACTATTGGTATAAAATTTTAAAGTTTTCTTAAATATCAACCGTGTTTAATTAGTCGACATCTCAAAATTTTCGTAATTTTTTTTATTAAAAAAATTACTTGTAAAAAATTGAAATTAAAAATTTCATATGTAAGAAACTTAAAAAATTATACATGCAATTTTTAATTTGTAATTAAATTAATCAAAAAAATCAAAAATTGTTTGAACGTCGGCTAATTTTAGTATTATTTTTTTTGACACTTAAAATTTTTATAACAATTTAATTATAATGAAAAAAATTTATTAAAAATATTTCATGTGTAGAAATTTAAAAATATTCCAAGTGCGAATTTTAAAAAACATATTTTTTATATGAAACTAAAGTTAGCCGACATTCTGAATTTTTTGATTTTTTTTAATATAATAAATTACAGCTAAAAAATATTTTTTTTAAATTGCACTTATAGTTTTTTAAGTTTTACACAAGTGAAAATTTTTTTTATATTTTTTGCAATTATTTTTTCAATAAAAAAAAAAATTCTAAAAATTTTGAGATGTTGGCTAACTTAATTTTCATATTTTTTATAACAATATAAAAATTAAAATAATTTTTAATTTTAATAAAAAAAAAAAAAAATTTTATTTTTTAAACAATTTAACTGGGAAAACAATTTTTTGACAAATAAATTGGTCAAAAAATTTATGAATATAATTAATAAATAGTAAAGTTAGCCGAAATTTTTAATTTTTTGATTTTAATAATTAAATTATAACAAAAAAATATTTTTAAAAAATTGCACTTACAGTTTTTAAAGTTTTTTACAAATGAAAATTTTTTTTTGGTCATTTTTCCAATAAAAAAATTTTCAAGTGCCGGCTAACTTATTTTTCATGAATAATTTTTATAATTTCCAACAAAAATATATCTCATAAGTTTAATAAAATTTTTTCTATTTAAAAGCTTGCATGTAAAAACTAAACCCAAATTTTACAATTATTTCTAGTCACCCAGAAAGAAGTAAAGATGGCGTTACAATCGAAACTTCTCACAAGTGCTTAACAATAGAGTAATTTCAATATATAACAATTCGCTCTGTTCGATGCCAGGTACTACAACAAGTCATGTTGGTGGACTCAAGGCTCGTGCACAGATAGCTTTCCACGTCTTTGACCAAAAGCGTGGTTGGTCCTCTGTCACGGGGAGATGGTTCTCTTCCGGGGAAGCGTAATGCAACTTCCTTACAACCGGCTGAGGACTGAGCGGCGCAGCTAGAGATTCACTGGCACTAGCTGCACACCAGGGCTCTTAGGGTAATCTGCTCGCTGAGTAATCACCATCTCATCCTCATCCCTAGCACGAGGATGGGGATCCTTTTGTTGATACTAAAATTGTAATTTTTTTATAAAAAAAAATTCCCTCCAAAAATTAGACGTCTGCTAATTTTTTTTTCAATTATTATCAACTTTTGTTCAATTATTTAAAATCCTTAATTAAGTAAATTTTCTGAATAATTTTTATAAAAATAAAGTTAGCCGACATTTCAAAATTTTTAGAAATTTTTTATTGAAAAAATTTCAATTAAAAAATTAAAAAAAAAATTTTCACATGTAAAAAACTTGAAAAACTACAAGTGAAATTTTTTAGAAATATCTTTTTAGTTGTAATTTAATTAATACAAAAAATCAAAAATTTTTTAGACGTCTGCTAAACTTCAGTGTCATATAATTTTTTATAATTTATTTGTTACAATAAAATTAAAAATTAAATTTTTTATAACAAATTAAAATTGACAGATGTCTGCTATTTAATTTCATCTGCAGAATTTTGAAAATCTATTAAGATAATTTTTTATTAAGTTATTTTTTACAAAAATTTTAAAAATGATATAAAAATCATCAGACGTTTAGAAAATTTTTTTATTAATTAAATTAGAACAAAAAAAATATTTTTACAAAATTGCACGTATAATTTTTAAAACTTTTTACATGTGAAATTTTTTCAATAAAAGAAATTCTAAAAATTTTTAGATGACTTGCAATTACACCCGTACACGCAGCAGAAAGTTTGATTTTTATTGTCTCGTGAAGGAAACTACATGATTAAAAATTTTTGATCATTAAAGTTGATGTTATTTTAAATAATAACTAAGTTTATAGACTATAATTAATTAATTAATATTTTAAAAAAGAATTTCGACGAATTTCAACTGCAGTTTCGGCATATTATATGACATTAGCTGTTTATACTCGACCTGCATATAGTTCGCATTGGATCCGTCAGGTAGCGTATTTAAGTGGATGATTTCCCAATAGTAAATCCTAGGTACTATATACAGTCCCATACCCCTGATATTCAACCCGGGATGAGGATCCTTTTCTTGATACTGAAATTGTAATTTTTTTATAAAAAATTCGCTATAAAAATTTCAAGAATTGTTACACGTCTGCTAATTTTTTTTTTCAATTATTTAAAATTTTCTAAATAATTTTTTGTTACAAGAAAATCAAAAATCTAATTTTTTATGAAAATTAAGCTATTTAACTCAATCTCTAAAAATTTGAAAATTTATTAAAATCATTTTTTACTAAGTTACTTTTTACAGGAATTTTAAAAATAATACAAAAATCATCAGATGTTCAGGAATTTTTTTTTCATTAATTAATTTAGAACTAAAAAAAAAAGTATTTTTTAAAAATTGCAAGTAAATTTTTTGTTAACATTTTTTCAATGAAAAAAATCCTAAAAATTGTCAGATATCTGTTTTATTTAAGTTGAAAATTTTTTTTTACCCATTTAATAATTATACTTCATCAAATATCAAATTTATGTTAATTAATAATCAAAAAATTAATTTCTACAATCAATTCATATTTTAATTTATGATCCTGAAATCAAACAGACATCTTACAATTTTTCTAGATTTTTATAACAATTTAATTATAATAAAAAAAATTTCACATGTAGAAATAAAAAAAAAAAAAGTTCCAAGTGCGAATTTTAAAAAAACATTTTTTTTATAATAATATATCTTTTATAAAAATTTAAATAATTTGTAAATGTATAATACTAAAGTTAGCCGACGTTTTTAATTTTTTGATTTTGTTTTTATAATTAAATTAGAACAAAAAAAATATTTTTAAAAAATTGCACTGACAGTTTAAAGTTTTTTACAAATGAAATTTTTCTTAATCATTTTTTTAATAAAAATAAATTATAAAAATTTTTAGATCTTCACAATTAAAATTAAGAAGAAAATTTTATTTTTCAAACAAACTAACTAGGAAAAAATTTTTTTGACAAATAAACTAGTCAAAAAATTTATAATTAATTCTTATTTATAAATAAGAATTAATTTTTAATTTCTACCAAAAATATATCTCACATGTTTTATAAAAATTTTTCTATTTAAATGCTAGCATTTAAAAACAAAATTCAAATTTTACTATTTTTTCTATTTACCCAGAAAGAAATGAAGATGGCGTTAAAGTCGAAAATTCTCACAAGTGCTCAGTAATAGAGTAGTGTCCATATATAAGATTTTGCTCTCAAATTTTTCGGGTTCTCCAACAAGTCATGTTGGAAGCCTAAAGGCTCGACGTAGGCTGACCATCCACACGTCATTAGGCCGGTCTGTTGGAGACATCGCCGACGACACTCTTGATGTCCTCGCCTGAGGGACATAATCTTAAACCATGGAGTGAAACTTTCTCTGTGTCTCAGGTCATTACCAGGTCAGATGACGGCGCGGCAGCGGTATTTCCCTGCTGAGTAAGCACAGTTTAGTTTCTCCGTGAAAGGATCAGGTACACGTGGTTGGTCACCTTCGACGAGGAGATGGTCCTCTTCCGGGGAAGCGTAATGCAACTTTCATACCGGTCGAGGAGGTGAGTGGGTTACCCGGTGGTAGCCAAAGACCCCGGAGCTGAGAAAGCAACATCCGCTGGCTAGCGCAGAGAGACCCTGGGTAATCTACTCATTGAGTAATCACATCTCGTCCTTATCCTGTTTATCAGGGTGAGGATCCTTTTGCTGATACTCAAATTATAATGCTTTTTTTTTTTTTTTTTTTTTTTTATATTAATGAATTCATTAAAAAAATTACAAAAATTGATTATAATAGATGTCTGCTAATTTCAATTCAATTTTTTTTTTTCAATTATTTAAAATTCTTAACTGATCAAATTTTCTAAATAATTTTTTATAATTAATTTTTTACAAGAAAAATTTAATTAGTCACCAGAAAATCCAACATTTCATTTTTTATAACAAATTAAAATTAACAGATGTCTCATATCTAATTTTATCCTCAGAAATTTGAAAAACTGTTAAGATAATTTTCTATTAAATTATTTTTTCCAAGAATTTAAAACTTGCAATTTTATTTTAATTAAAAAAAACAAATCAACTCTAATAAATTATTAAATATATTTTTTTAATTAGATTAAAATTGTAAGTGTCAAACAATTAGGTCAGTGTCAATAACTGGGTCCTTTACCTTAATTAAAAAATTTTTTTATAATTATAATTCATCAGATATGAAATTTATGTTAATTAATAATAACTAAAAAATTTTTTTCTACAAACAATACATAATTTAATTTATGAAATTGAAATCAAATAGACATCTTACAATTTTTTAGATTTTTATAACAATTCAATTATAATGAAATAAAAATAAATTTAGCAAAAAAATTCCACACATAGAAATTTAAAAAAATTCAAAGTGCAAATTTAAATAAACATTTTTCTTTATAATAATATATCTGTTATAAAAAATATAATAATTTTTAAATGTTTGCTAATTTCAGCGCATTTTTTTTTAATTATTAAAGGTCAGTTTTTGTTCAATTATTTAAAATTCTTAACTAAGCAAATTTTCTAAATAATTTTTTATACTTCATTTGTTACAAGAAAATCAAAAATTTTATTTACATTAAAATAAGAGTAATGATTGCTTCATTAATTGTAGTTGTAATTATTATTAGGAATTATTTATTTACAAGAGATCAGGTGAAAATAAGTCCCTGAATGTCATTTGAAACCTTGCAAATTTCTCATGCCCATCAGCAGTAACTTAATATGAGCATTAGTTTTAGCGATTTCTTTACGCAAGTTACTAATTTGCATCTCCAGCAACTTGACCCGGACATTAATTAGCACCACAGCTTCATCCAAGTTGAACTCTACGAAATAACCCAAGCCGACGTCGAGGAAAATTTTAGAGGCATCTTCAACGGTAGCTTGTATAAAAAAATTGTTTCCTAAATCAACCTGGGTCTTGAATCCACTTTCATTGCACTCGGTACTTTTTAACGTCGTGATGACACTTTTCAGCTGGATGAATTCTGCGAGCTCAGTGTTCTTGACATCCAATTTTTCTTCAAATTTCTTTAAGTCACTCTTCAATACTTCATTTATGAATTTTTCGAATTTTACTATCTTTTTTGATAATTCTTCATTCATAGCCATCTAAATTATAGAAAAATAAAAATTTTATTAATAATTTATGACATCAAAATTAGCAGTCACTTAACAATTTTTTATATTATTCTAATTTTTTTTCTATTATTTGTTTGTTAAAAAAATTATTAAATATCTGCTGATATTTTCAGTATGATTTAATAAAAATAAAGTTAGCCGACATTTCAAAATTTTTACAAATTTTTTATTGAAAAAATTTCAAATAAACAATTAAAAAAAAAAAATTTCACATTTAAAAAACTTGAAAAACTATAAGTGCAATTTTTTATAATTATCTTTTTAGTTGTAATTTAATCAATAAAAAAAATCAAAAATTTTTATACGTCTGCTAATTTCAGTGTCATTATTATTTATTATGTTGACACTTTTTTAAGATATTTAAATTGACTAAAAAAATAATTACGTACCTTTTATTAAATTATACAGTAAATAATAACTGTTAATATTTTTACTGTTGTAACAATTAGTAATAAACAAAACAACACTTGAGCCGCATGGAACTTAAATGAAAAATGTAAACAATGTGTTAAAAATACGGAATGGCTAGTGACACTTTCTGACATGACCACAATGTTAAAGTCACGGGAAATGATAAAAAAAATTATTAAGTTATCAAAAAAAGTGAGCAATAAATTATAATTTTAATTATTACAAACATTTATTATTTACGCGGCAAATTTAAATTTTAACTTTTATTATTTTTTTTTTAATTAAAATTTTTCACTAGAAAAATTTATTTAAAAAATTCCATCTTTAAAATCTCTAAAAAATTATAAATGCAATTTTTTGAAAATAATTTTTTATAACTAGTTGATTTTTCAGGGAAAATAAAAAAATTATCAAGTGTCAGCTAATTTCAGCAATATAAAATATTAAATAAATAAATTTAATAAGACTACTAATTATTTTATAGTCACAGAAGTCAATATTTAATTAGAAATTATTTTAAAAAAATATATTTAATTCAATAAGAGCTTCGGTCATTTAAAAAAATTTCCACATTAATTTTAATTAAATAAAAATCTTAAAAATAAACAATAATTACCTTCATAAATTCTGAGTTAAAAAAAAAAACTAAGAATTAGATCCATAGAAAAAAAAAAATCAAATACTTCCAAGTAAATTAAATTACGATTTTTATTATTAAAAAATCTTACAAAAAAAAAAAGCTTGAAAAATATCCTAATAAAAAAACCAATTAAAATTTCAAGCTTCATTCGATTCCTGCTGTTCAAACTTAGGATACTTCTCTTGAGCCTCTTTCCAAGTAGTCTTTCCATTAGCAAGATCTCTAACAACCCCGGGAAGCTCATCCAGCGGAATCCTCAACTGCTGCATACTATCGCGCTCCCTCAGCGTCGCAGTATGCGGAGTCTTCAACGTATCAAAATCAATAGTGATCCCAAAAGGAATAGCAATCTCATCAGTGCGAGCATACCTCCTCCCAATGCTCCCGGAAGAGTCATCAACCTTATAAGATACCTCAACCTCATCCAACCCATCAGCCAGTTTATTAACAAAAGGCACAAACTCCGCGTTTCCACTCAGCGGCAAAACGGAGCACTTAAGCGGAGCAACAACTGGCGGCAAGCTAATATAGTTCCTCTGCTCATCTCCCTCCCTCTTTTTAAAATTCTGCTCAAAGATCGCGTACATAATCCTCCCGATCCCAAAAGAGGGTTCAATAACACTCGGAGTGATTTCCTCTACATGCACAATCTTCTGGTACCTTTTCACCGAAATCATCTCTTTGGTGACCCAGACACTGCTGCCATCAGCCAGTGTGACCTCGTACTTACCCTCAGTCTCCAGAGTATTCTCCAGTCGCTCCAGCTGCTCTTCCTCCAAGCTCCCAATGAATTCAAGGACTTCCTTAGCTTTGTTCCTCAGTGTCTTCCCAATGATCCCTCTATTGGGAGTAGCTTCGCAGATATCAATCGTTTTGGGCTCCGGCAATTTTTTCTCAGCGACCAACTTGACTCCGGTGGCTCTGGTGTGTTGAGTCAGGTCGTAGGCAGACCTATCAGCGCACCCGACGCATTCAATCCACCCGTAAGAGGTCAGACACTCAGCGTCCCAACAATCGCAAGCGTAATGAGCCATTTCGTTGCTCATATGCTGACGGAATCTCAGTTTTTTCGGGTCGACTCCGACTTTTACTAAAAATTGTTGGATCCTTGCTAAGAAATACCCCAGAGTTTCATTTGCTACAAGGCCAGAGGCAACAGCGCTGCCTATTGTCCGAATTTCGGCGCTTTTTCCGTCCATTTGGTTGCAAGCGGAGTAAAGAATTAATTCAGTGTCTTTTATAGCGGCAAATTTAGGGTGAGATTTGTCCTTAGGATCGCAAAAGTGCTCAATTTCAGCCATTGTAAATTCTCGGACTCTAATTAATCCGGACCGAGGAGAAATCTCGTTACGGAAAGCCTTCCCGATTTGCGCGGCAGCGAACGGAAGCTTTTCTTGATTAAATTCTAGCAACCGCTTAAAATTTACAAAAATTCCTTGGGCAGTTTCCGGTCTTAAGAAGCCTTTGATTGCCCCGGAAGGCCCGATCTGGACTCCGAACATTAAATTGAAGTCTATTGGCTCGGTCAGGTCGTTTCCGGTAATCGGTGATTTCATTTCAAATTTTTTAACCACAGCTGCCATCTCTTCTTTGGTCATTCCGTCGAGTTTCACGACGATGTCCTGACACTCTGCTCGGGTTTCTTCGGAAGTCTTCTTGTCGGCGGCGACTTTTTCAAGGTGGGCTTTGATCAGGTGGTCCAGGCGGAAACACTCGCCGTTCTTTGTGTCTTTTACCATCAGGTCGGCGAATCTGTCCACGTGGCCGGAGGCTTTCAACACTGGCTCAAGGGTCAGGATGGAGCCTTCCACTTCAAGCATTTTTTCTTTCTGCACGAAGAAACTGCGCCAGAAGGAGAGCAGGTTTGATTTAAAGGCACAGCCCATTGGACCGAAGTCGTATTGACCCGTGATCCCTCCGTAGATCGCGAATGATTGGTCGTAGAAGAAGCGCCGCTTTAAGAGGTCTTCCATACGAGCCCGGTCGAAGGTGTGCGCGTCTGATGCGAGGGATAATTCTTTTTCTTCGAGGAGCTTTTTACGGAGCTTCAATTCTGCTACTGCTTTTTTGACGTCCAGTTCGGGCGCGCCATCGGATTTTAGCTTGCGGACCAAGTCTCCCTAGAAATTTATTTTTTTTGGTAAAATTTTTGTTTTTTTATTAAAATTAAAATATAAAAATTCATTTATTTATTTAAAGAAATTTTTATTAAAATAACAAATCAAAAATATTTGAAATTTAATCAAATTTTTTTTTTTTTGTTTCACACAATTTTTTTATTAATAATTTAATTGCTAGGTACTGAAAGACATATGATACCTTTTAAAAATTTTTTGACTAATAAATTATAATTATAACAAAAACAGTAATAAAACTAAAGTAGCCGACAATTTATTAAATTATAACTAAAAAATATTTTAAAAAAATTACACGTATGATTTTTGAAGTTTTTAACAAATGAATTTTTTTTTAATTTTTTAATAAAAAAAATTAATGTAGCACATATTTAATAATTTTTTTAATTTTATAAGAAATAAATAATGGCGAAAAAAAAATCTAGAAATCTAGAAATTAAAAAAAAAATAAAAAATACAATTTCTTAAAATAATTTTTTGGAACAAATCTTTTTGTTAAATAAAATTAAAAAATTGTCAAGTGACAGCTAACTTGAATGTCATTAAAAATTTGTGTATATATTGAAAACTGGTTATAATTAATAATTATAGCACGTGGAAACTCACATGTCCATATGGAATATAGTATTGAAAGTTCTGTTACCTGTTCTTTGACATTAGCTCTTAGCGGTGCTAAAACCTCTTCTATTTTCGGATCAGTCATGTCGAGAGAAAAGTTCAATTTCACGGCTCGAAATTTCTTATTAGATCCCCAGTTGGATTGTTGTGCAAATCGACAAAAACTTGTGCGAAATTCTCGTTTTAAGTTGCAGTTGTTTGACCTTATCTGCGTCAATAAAAATTTTGTTAATACTCGAATCCCGTGAAAGTGAAAACTCATTTAGGTTAATGTACACTCTACTTATACACAGTAAGACACATTTATATACTTACGTCCAAGCCGCATGTTCTAACTTGTGTAAAAGTGTAAAAGTGTGTGTAAACCATACTCACTTATACACATAAAATTCCTGGATGATACTGAAGTTAGCTGTCAGCTGTCAATTTTTAAAACTTTTATAACTAATCAATTACAAAAAAAAAAAATGATTCCAAAAATTTTCACTAATAATTTTTATTAATTTTCACACGTGGAATTTTTTTTTATAATAATTTAATTGCTATAAAATTATAAAAAAAATTCTAATGTCTGTCAACTTCAGTGTCATAATTTCTGGAGTGAATATTGAGACTGAAAATTTTAATGGATGATGCAATTTTTATGAAAATTAATTTAATAACTTCAAGAATTTTGGTGACAAATAAATTATATGAAAATTAATTTAGCAGATAGTTGATAATTTTAAGAATTTTTCTAACAAATAAATTGTGACAAAAAAAAATTAAAAAAATTGACATTTAGAAATTTTAAAAGACTAAAAATGCAATTTTTTTAAAAGTAATTTTTCAAAACAAATTTTTTTGTTAAAAAAAAAATTAAAAACTGGCTATTTATCAATAACAATTATTTTTATTTTCATTATTAATTATTTTTATATTAAGGGAACATTAAATAATAATAATAAATAATAACTTCGTTATTTTATCAAATTTTAAATTTTTGGTCTTTTTGTTTTAACGAACTCTAGCGGTTTGTTTAGAAAGATCCTGACAAAACAAAAAATGGAGTTATGTATCAACAATCAGCTGATCAGTTCACAAGTTGTTTATATGTTTAGATTTTTAATCTATACTTTGTTATTGTTTTAAAAAAATCCCAAAACATTTAATAAAAAATACAATAATTTGGCTTTTAAAAATTATTATAAAAGAAGAATATCAATTTTTTGAGTTACAATGAATCCAAATAACCGAAAGTAAGTTTTAAAATTTTTTAATTGTCATTGTAAATAATAAAATCAGCAGACATCTAACCATTCTTTGATTTTTTTTTAATAAATAAATTATGACTAAAAAAATAAATAAACAACTAATTTACTCAAAATAAATTAAAAAAAATGGTATTCTAATTTTTATTGTAATTAATTATTTTTTTTTTTTTAGGTACGGTCTTGATGTCCAAAAAAAAGAACTATCAGCCCCAAAATCCGGGAACGTTTTTGGAGATGAAGATTCCGATGACGAAGCAAGCGGAGCAAATTGGGTTGGAAAAACGATAAAAGCAGAAGCTGAGAAAAATCGTAGTAAAAAACAGACTAAATTAAATGTCCAAAGAGCGCTGGAGGTTGACCCGACGATTTTTCAGTACGATGAAATTTACGACGACATGTCATCGTCTAAAAAAGTTAAAGAAGTGAGTGCTAAGAAGCAAGACTTGAAGCCCAAGTATATTCACAATTTAAAAGAAGCTGCTGAAAAAAGAAAAAGAGAAAACGAGTGCAGAATCGAGAGGAAGGTGCAAAAGGAACGTGAAGCTGAGGGAGATATGTACAAAGACAAAGAAGTTTTTGTTACAGAAACTCATCGTCGGAATTTAGAGAAGATGATGCAGTTAAATGAAGACGAAGAAAGGATAGATAGGTTGGAAGCTATCGCAGACGTTACTAAACAGCCTGACATATCTGGATTTTACCGTCACTTATATTCCCAGACTATTGATAAGAAACCAATAAAAGAAGAAAAAGACACCTCTGCTGAAGAACAAGCTAATACTTATGAGCCGGCTGTAAATATTGACAGAGACGAAGATCTCTCTGTTGACTCAGACTCTTCTGAACGCTCTCAGTCTAATTCAGAGTCGGGTTCTGAAAAAAGTGCTGGCAGTAAGAAACTAGAGCCGAAGAAAAGCTTCGCTAAGCGCAAGCGACAGTACAGGAGCAGGAATGTTGAGGAATCTGAGGATGAAAGTGAGGCCAAGAGTAAAGTCAAGAAGTCTGAGAAGAAAAAACTTAGAGCTGAAGCTGAGGATCAAACTGATGCTGAAGATGAAGCTGAAGCTGAATCTCAGATTGAAGAAAAAAAAGATGTTGAGAAAGATTCTGTTGAAGAAAAGGGAACGGATGATCCCAAAAAGGATCAAGTTGAAAAATCTGAAGTTAAAGTTGAAGAGGAGAAAATTGTTGAGGTTGTTAAAGAAGAAAAACCTAAAGTTTCTATTTGGGAAAAGAGGACGGTTGGAGATGTCTTTGATGCTGCTTTGCAGAGATATTACACGCGCAAAGCACTTCGTATGTCTAGTTAATTTAAGTATTTTAAATTATGTAATAATAAATAGTAATAAATAATTTTTTGACAGGTTCTAATTTTTAAAAAATAGTGATTAAATTATTTTCAATGTGATTGATAATTTATTCATCAAAAAATTTGAAGAAATTGATGAGGATTAATTTAACAGATATTAAATAATTTTTAGAATTTTCTTAACAAATAAATTATGGCAAAAAAATGAGAAGAAAAATTGTAATTTTTAAAAATTATAAATGCAATTTTTTTTTAATTATTTTTCAGAAAAGATTTTTTTGGTAGATAAAATTAAAAAATTATCAATTTACTGCTAACTTTAGTCATAAAACTTTTTTTTTTTAATAAATATTTGATTAACTATTCGTGATTTTTTTTTTATTTATGGATAAAATTAATGAATAAACTTCAGATTATTTTGGATCAAATATCAGATGTTAAATATTATGACACTTGACAATTTTTTGATTTTTTTTGTAAGATAAACTAGCTCTAAAAAATAATTAAAAAAAATTGTACTTACAATTTTTTAGAGCTAATAAATTAAAAAATGGTCACGTGACTGCTTCGTTTAAATTAATTAATAGATATTTTTTATTGTAATTTATTTGTTACAAAATTTTAAAAAATTGACAGCTGTCAGCTAACTTCAGTATCATAAAAAAATTTTTTTATTGTTAAAAAATAAAAATTAAGTTAGCCCGACATCTAAATTCTTTTAATTGAAAAAATTGTTACTAAAAAATTTTCATTCGTAAAAAACTTGAAAAACTATAAGTGCAATTTTTTAAAAATACTTTTTAGTTCTGATTAAATAAATGATAAAAATTATAAATGTTGAGTAACTGTAAAAATTTATTTTTTTTTTTTTCAAGTTTTTCAGTTTTTTTTTTTTTTTTTAATTTCTACATTGCCAGCACATGAAAGTGAAACAATTGCAAACATAACCTCAAATAAACACACAATTAGAAGATGGAGACTTCGCAACGTTGATTAAATAATAATAAAAATTATCATAATAATAATAATGATAGTTGTATATCGTTAGTACTGATCCAATGGAAAGGTTAGTTTTATACTTGTTCAATTACATTTATCGGTCGTAAAACAAGTAAATAAAAAACAAACAAAAATAATAAACGACAATGAAAGTAATTATAAAAAGGATATAAAGCATTTGAATTTTACACAGTTATAAGTTTTAATTTATTATTATTATTATTATTATTATTATTATTATAATAACTCAATAGAAAAATGAAGCTGAATTATTTATAAATTCTAATCAATTTAACAATCTGTTCCACGTCACAATAGTGATTTTGTTTGCTATTATACAAGTTAACTTTAGTTACAATGTTGATTTAATTGTTGACCCGGTTCTTTGATTTTTTATAGTCCGACAATGTATCTGATAAGTAAGTAATGCTTTTTTTATTTATTATTATTATTTTATTGCAACTATTAAATAGTAGAGACATATGTAGATTAATTTGTTAGATAGTTAATTTTTAATCACCGGATAAAATTATTTTTGTATGAAAATTAATTCAGCAGATGTGATAATTTCTTTAATAAAATAAATTATGACAGGTAAAAATTTAAAAAAATTAAAAATGTAATTTTTTAAAAATAATTTTTTGGATTAAATTTTTTCGTTCAATAAAATTAAAAAATTGTTAAGTGACGGCTAACTTAATGTCATTTTTGTATAAAAATTAATTAAGCAGTTACTTGATCATTTTTAGAATTTTTTTTTAAAACAAATTATGGCAAAAAAAAAAAAAATTTTAATAAAAATTAAAAATTGCAATTTTTGAAATAAATTTATTTGTTAAATAAAATTAAATAATTGTCAAGTGACTGTTAATTATAATGTCATTTTTGTATGAAAATTAATTTAACAGCAATGTTATAATTTTTTTTAATAAACAAATTATGAAAAAAAAAAAATTTGACGTAAAAATTTTTAAAAATAAAAAATTCAATTTTTTGAAACAAATTTGTTTGTTAAATAAAATAAAAAAAATTGCCAAATGACTGCTAATTTTAGTATCATTATTTTTATACTAATTAGTAGTTATTAAATTAAAAAAATTTTTATTTCAGAAAATTTGGTGCCAAATAAAAATAATGATTATATGTGATTAATAATAATAATTGTTATGGCATTTTGGAAAGGAAGACCCAATTGGTTAGGCAAAATAGGCCTTATATTATTAGCAATATGGCTAATAATACTAATAATATCCGTATCACATGTTTTACGGAACAATTCTTCCCGAGAAAACGAGGAAGTAATAGCTAAAGACAAGGAAAATTTTGAAAAATTATCCTCGATGGTTGAGGAGTTTGAAATTTTAAAAAAACAAAATGAAGCATTTGCCAATATTATTATGTCTAATAATTATAAGAGTGATATTATTAGTGATAATTTAAAAGCTATAACTAATGTAAATAATAGCCCAATTTTAGAGTACGAGCATTTGAGGCGTAGAATTAAAAATGATGTCCAGGAACTGTGGTACTACGTCGATGCCCAGTTAAAAAAAGTTAAAAAATACACTGAGGATTTTCCTCTGGATAAGCGGGAGAAGGACATTGACGACGCGATTAACAACGTCTGGGAGCACAAAAAGGCCCTGATTAACGAGCTGGAGAAGCTAAAGGAAGTCGATGGTCATCAGCGCTGGAGGGAAAAAGAGTCCCAAAATTTGTCGGATCTTGTACAGAAGCGGTTTTCGCACTTGCAGAATCCTAGTGATTGTAACAGCGCTAAAAAATTGACTTGTAATTTGAATAAAGGATGTGGCTTTGGCTGTCAGGTAAATTTTCTTATTTTTTATTTAATTATTGTATTTAAAATAATTTAAGGGGAATTTAGTACCGATAATGATTTTTTTAGCTGCTAAAGGAATTATAAAAATATTATTTTTACCAAAATTACCAGACAATTAAATTAAAAAATAAACTAGTTCTAGAAAATAATTAAAAAAAAATTGCATTTATACTTTTTGAGAACTTTCAAAGTCATTTTAGTACCCACATCAATTTTATATATATAATCTATATTTATATATTTCACGAATACCATGTATATTAAATATATGAAAAATGACATGTGGGTACTCTCAAATGAAAGGTCTCAATGAGTGTAACATCGAAATGAGTTTATATTTAAAAAAAATGTCAATAATTAAGAAATGACATTGTATCTTGTCAACTAATGATATTTTTAAAAATATAAGCTCATCTCGATGTTACACTCATCAAGACCTTTTATTTGAGTACCCACATCAATTTTTCATATATTTATATATATTATATATATGAAAAATATATCAAAAATGCATGTGGGTACTCAAATGAAAGCTCTTGATGAGTGTAACATCAGGATGAGCTTATTTCTTTAAAAACGTCAATATTTAAGAAAGTAGTGCAATTTAACAAAAATCATCATTTAATAAAGCAAAATTCTATGTGCTAATAGTTCACAAATCACGGAAGTCATATAGTGACTTTGCTAGTAGTATAAAAACAAATATGACATTGAAGTTGACGGTCATTAGAATTTTTTTTATAATTTTAATGTAAAAATTATTTTATTTTTTTATTATAATTAATTTTTTATAAAAATTAATAAAAAAAAATTTTTTCCAGATTCACCACCTGACCTACTGTTTTTTGGTAGCCTACGGTACTGAGCGCACACTAATCCTAAAATCAAAGGGCTGGCGTTACCAAAAAGACGGCTGGGAATCAGTATTCAAGCCTCTCAGCGACAGCTGTACCTCTCCGAGCGGTCTCTCCCACGCAAACTGGCCAGGAGACGCATCTAAGCAAGTGGTATCGCTGCCAATAGTGGACAACGTCTACCCGAAGCCGAAGTACCAGCCTCCAAGCATACCACTGGACCTGGCCCCACGAATCGAGCGGCTGCACGGGAACCCGTTGGTCTGGTGGGTCGGGCAGGTGCTCAAGTTCCTGATGCGACCCAGGGAGGGCATGCAGAAGATAATCGACGCTAAAAAAGAAAAAATGGGATTCATAAAGCCAATCGTCGGGATCCACGTCCGAAGAACTGACAAAGTCGGGACCGAGGCGGCTTACCACGACCTAGACGAGTACATGGTGAAAGTCGACCAGTACTACGAGCAGCTGGAGATTCAGCCAGCAGTCAAGCGGGTCTTTATCGCCAGCGATGACCCCAAGGTGATAACTGCCGCAAGGACTCGGTATCCTAGGTACGAAGTTATTGGCGATCCTGCTATCGCGGAAACTGCTTCTGTGTCCAAGCGATATTCCGACACGTCTCTCCATGGAATTATTATTGACATTCATCTGCTGTCTCTGTCAGACCACCTTGTTTGCACCTTCAGCTCCCAGGTCTGTCGCGTTGCTTATGAATTAATGCAGACGTATCATGTTGATGCTTATGATAAATTCACTTCGCTTGATGATGTTTATTATTACGGTGGACAAAATCCCAATCCGGCTGTTGCGATCCTGGAACACTTACCCAGACGCACGGAAGAAATAGAATTGAAAGTTGGGGATAAAGTTGAGGTCCATGGCAATCACTGGGACGGATTTTCTAAGGGAAGAAATTTACGGACTGGTATTACTGGATTGTTTCCTAGTTTTAAAGTTGAAAATCGCATTGCTACCGCGGAATTTCCCAAGTATTCTGATGTTTCTTTATAAGTTTTATTATTTATTTTATAAATTATTTTTTTTAAGCTTTTTAATTCAATATAAGATTCATAATTATTCTTAATTTTTGATATATTAGTCCTGTAAAAAAATTTTTTTAAACAAAAGTTCAAAATTTAATTTTCTAAAAAAAAAATTCTCTTGTGTTTTTAGTAGATTTCATAAAAATCTAACTATTGTATTTGTCTTCATGACGTGACTTTTCATAAATTTTGATGTATTTCGATTTAACTCAACGAGCTGAGTCAGACATATGGTTATCATATATATGAAAAAATTCATGTGGGTACTCAGATAAAAGGTCTCAATGAGTATAAAATCATAATGGACTTATATTTACGAAAATGTTAATAATTAACGAATGATAATGTATTTTGCTGACTACTGATGTTTTTAATGATATAAGCTCATTCCGATGTTACCACTCATCAAGAGCTTTCATTTGAGTACCCACATGCATTTTTGATATATTTTTCATATAAACATATATATAAATATATAAAATATATAAAAAATTGATGTGGGTACTCAAATGAAAAGTCTCGATGAGTGTAATGTCGAGACGAGCTTACATCTTTAAAAATATCATTAGTTGACAAGATACAATGTAATTTCTTAATTATTGAAATTTTTAAAGATATAAGCTCATCCAGATGTTACACTCATCGTGATCTTTCATTTGAGTACCCACATGCATTTTTGATATATTTTTCATGTATACATATATATATAATATATATAAATATATAAAATATATGAAAAATTGATGTGGGTATTCAAATGAAAGGTGTCGATGAGTGTAATGTCGAGATGAGCTTATATCTTTAAAAATATCATTAGTTGACAAGATACAATGTAATTTCCTAATTATTGAAATTTTTAAAGATATAAGCTACGAAATTTGCTGTTGCACTGGTTATTTTTTTTTTTGTATACAATCCTAGTAGTTTTTTATTTTTAAATCACAAGACACATTTTTTTTATAAAATTAAATCTTAAACATCTTTTGTTTAAATAATTTTTTATAGGACCAATATTTTCGCGGTAATATTCAAAATTTAAATTATTTATTTTAATAAAATTGCGACAAATATTTTGACCCGAGTGATTAGTGTTAATTTATGCTTTATTTTTATTGATAGATATATTTGATAGAGTTAATATTGTTTCACTTTGTAAAATTCGCTGCTAGGTTCTTGATTGTTGATTATTTTTTCTTTTTAATGTTAGATAAATTTTTTATAGAAGAAAAATTTATTTATTCAAATTTTATAGAAGATATTTTATAAAGTATGCTTTAATTATCATTGCAATATTGTAAGAATTTTTTTAACATAGTAAAAAAAAAAATATCACATGAATTTCAAATCCGGTGAGATTAACATCGAAAGTTTTACAGCGATTTCATTAATTAATGCGTTTTATTTATTGGAATCAAAAGAATGAATGAACAAAAAAACTGGCCAAATAATTCGACTGAAGTAATTATTTTTTTTTTTTTTAACAATAAGACTTGAAGAACAAAATTTTATTTATTGAATATTATTATGAACCAATCTGTTAGAAAAATAATTTTTTTTTTTTTTTTTTTTTTTTTTTTTAATTTTTTTTTTTTTTTTATTGAAGTAACTGTAAAAAGACAAATATAAAAGAGAATAGTGTTTATAAATAGATAGAACCAATTTGAGTGAACAAATAATTCTATATATCTTTGAAGATTTTGAATTTTGAATTTAAATTTGAAGTTAGAAGTGAAAATATATTAGCTTGATGTAAATTCTATTTAAATGTAAAAATTTTTTCGTAAATCTGATTAAAAATAAGGAAGATATATTATTAATTATTATTATTATTACTATAAATGAATATATTGTAATATATTTTATACTGTGGATTAAATACTTTATGAAAATAAATAAAATCTGCTGATGTTATTTAAAAATTATTTTTTTATTTTTCTTCTTATAATTAAATTTTGTTAAATAATCATCAATAAAATTTTTTTAAAACAAATATTTATTTGTAAAATAATGTTTAAATTTTGCGCGCAAATTTAAATTGTTGCTATTCGCTGTTAGCGATTTCTCGGATTTCTCTAGTGTACCAACTCCGGGTTAAAATTTTTTCACTCCAATTGCCGGTCTAGGAGCTGCTCTGTTTATTATGTCATATGGTATATGCGTTTTTGTTTTTATTTTTATTTATAATTATAAAAGTCACGAAATAATGTGCAATTTAAATTGTCACAACATTGCACGCAAATTTTGAGTGAAAAAAACGTCAGATTATGCAGAAATTTATCAACCATGGTCAAATAGTAAGAATTTCTTTGGATCAAACTAAACGTTATTGCAGTAAAAGGTAATAATTGTTTATATACTTAACCTCTTTTATTTGTTTACAAAAAATAATTAAAAAATTTACAATTGTATATTTTTTATATTTCTTAAGAAAATTTTTATATTACATCTGTCAAATATTTAATTTTTTTTGTCATGACACTGAAGTTGACAGCCTTGAAAAATTTTTTTAATTTTATAGCAATAAAATTTATTTAAAAAATTCTACATGTAAAAAATGAAGAAAAATTGTTGTTTAAAATTTTTAGGATTTTTTTTTTTTTTTTAGTGTAATTGATTTGTTTTAAAAATTGACAGCTAACTTCAGTATCATTTTTTTTAATAATTTTGTTTTTAAATTGCAGTACGGCTACATATTATGAAATTCTGGGAATACCAAAGGATGCATCTAAAAAAGATGTCAAAGAAGCATTTATTAAATTATCAAAAAAAGTGAGCAATAAATTATAATTTTTTAATTATTATAAACAAAAAATTTATCTGTAAGTAATTACGCAGTAAATTTTAATTTAAACTTTTACTATAAGTGCAATTTTTTAAAAAATATTTTTTATTTCTAATATAATAAATAAATAAAAGAAAAATAAAAAAATCAAAAACGTTGACGAACTTGAGTATTATAAAATATTATGACATTTATTTTAGCAGTCACTTGATAATTTTATTAATTTTAATTGGCAAAAAAAATTGTTCCGAAAAATTATTTTAAAGAAATTCCATATTTAATTTTAGTACAAAAAAATTAAAATTAAAATTTCACTTTTAAAAAACTTTAAAAACTACAAGTGCAATTAAAAAAACAAAATTATTTTTTAGTTCTAATTTAATAAATGAAAAATTAAAAACGTTGGCTAACTATTAAGGATCATGTCGCAATTAACCATCATAAAATTTACTTTTACAAAACTGAAACTTGCAATAACTGCCACACACTAGACAAAAAAAATAGCAAAAAATAAAGTTGTAGATGAAAATGAAGTTAACCGACATTTTAAAATTTTTATAAATTTTTTATTGAAAAAATTTCAATTAAACAATTAAAAAAAAAAAAAATTGTCACCTGTAAAAAACTTGAAAAACTACAAGTGCAATTTTTTAGAAATATTTTTTTAGTTGTAATTTAATTAATAAAAAAAATAAAAAATTTTTCCACGTCTGCTAACTTCAGTGTCATAATTGTAGATCCATCCAGACAAAAGCAGCGAGACATCAGCAAAAAGTCACAATGATTTCGTAAAAATAAACGAAGCATACCGCGTCCTGAGTAAGGATCACTCACGTCAGCAGTATGACTCTCATTTGAAGTACAATCAGGGCCAAGGTCCGCCAAATTATCGCGCTTACAACCCGCAGGGTGACGATCCTTACAGTCGTTCGTATGTATTCACCGAAGCTAATAATTCTACTTCGCCTAACATGAAAAAAAGCAAAACTAAAAAAAAAGCCATCAAAAATTTTAAAATAATTTTCACTTTTAATAAATAGAAACGCGTATTACCGCAGCAACTCGTTTTACCAGGATGCCTGGAGAATAAGGTATCAACAGCAGAGACGAGCATCCCCGAATGACAAAAATTTCACACCTTCTAAAATAGTTATCTACTGCTTCTTAATTTCTCTGGTTGGATCACTTCTGCAGCTTTGGGCGGTTATTAAGTCGCCGATCTTCAATCGGGAAGAGATGAATAGAAGGTCTGAACGTTATTTCAACGATTACCGTAGAGTTCGTGAGCAAGTAGTGAACAATAATACCAAAATTCTCAATGATCTTCTAAGCAACTCGGAGTTTGATTCTGATTCTGATGATAATAATAATGATAATTATAATAATGATGATAAGGATGAAATAAAGTGGTAAAAAAAAAAAAGTAGTAATTTCAATAAATGTATATAAAAATTGTAAATAATAAACACTACTTTGATAATTTAAATTTTATTATTTTAACAAAAAATATTTAGTAGTATTGTAATTAATAATTAATAATCAATCATCAATAATTAAGCAGTATAAAAAATTTACAATAGCTATTTTTTTTTCTAAATAATAAACACTACTTTAATAATTTAAATTTTTTGATTTTAACAAAAAATATTTAGCAGTATTTTAATTAATGTTTAATAATCAATCATCAATAATTAATCATTAATATTCTTAACTAATAATTAATAATTAAACAGTATGAAAAATTTACAATTGCTATTTTTTTTTCTAAATAATAAACACTACTTTAATAATTTAAATTTTATGATTTTAACAAAAAATATTTAGCAAATATTTTAATTAATAATTAATAATTAAGCAGTATAAAAAATTTACAATAGCTATTTTTTTTTATTAATTTAAATTATAATATTTAATGAATTAATTTAGTGAATTTTAGGTAGATTTCGTAGAAATCTATCTATTGCATTAGACCTTGTGTCGGAATTCACACGGAATTTTGTCATTTTATCTCTTATGTAGTCGAGTAAAGCTCAAAATTATCATTGGTTCAAAACATATGTAATATAACGCGGCTTGTGGACACGATAGCGTCTACAATTCTCAACGGATTTAGATGAAACTCGGTACACATATTCTTTGGGTAATTACCTTGAACGAGTTTAAAGATGAGCAAAATCGATCAATTAGTTTAGAAATGGCAGCCATTTAAAATTTTCAAAATAGTGAAAATCACGTTTTTGGCCACTTCATTGATGTATAACTTTTGATTGCACAGAGATAATTAATTTTTGAAAAATTCATGTAATAGCTCATAAAATTACCTTTAATTTGACGTATATAACATCAACATTTTGACCATTTTTAGTTATTTTATCAAAGTTAAGAGTGCAACTGAACCATTTTCAGGCAATGAGTAGTACAACCGACTTATGTACGTCATTCTATCAAGAATTTCATTCAGTGAAATCTACCTTCCATTTCGGGTGTGGCCGAATGGCGTTTTTTATAATTTAATTGTACTTGAGACGGTGAAATAATAATAAGCTGGATCACAATTTTTTAATGAAGGTACTTATACAACTGTGAGGGTAAGCAGGTGTAAAGATCGATTTTCCATTACTGTCAACGTAATCCTTGTACATGAGTTCGAATATTTGCTCGAAGCCTAGACGCTTGCACAGTTTTGCGGTGTAGTGAGAACTTGCATCAGTGCGGATATAGTTGTAATTTAATTCCTTGGCGATATCTCTGTAATTTAATAATTATTAATTGTTTCATCATTTTATTTTATTACTTTCATATCATATATTTATTCTTGTACCTTGAGAGGTAATGATATGTGTGGTTTTTATTTTTTTTTCTTGGGGTGTACCTTGGAAAAAGTACTTAGTGAAAGTTAGGAAATTTTTTTTTGTTAACATTTTTTTTTTTTTAATTATAAATTAAAAATACTAAAATTAAGTACAGTAATGCAGTAATAATACAAAAAAAGAAACTTACACAGTCTTTTGACAAAGTGCAGCTGCAATTCCCTTGCCACGACAACCGCTGTCAACGGAAATAATTTTAACGTCTAAAATTTTGCTCCCGGGATACCGATCAAGAACAGCAGCCTTCCTGTCGACGTGATGCAACAATCTAAGAATTTTTTTGAATTTAAAATTGTCGCAATTCTTAATGAAATCTGGCTCGTCCGTGTCTTCCGGTTTAACGGTAGTACCTGTAATTAAATATCAATTAAGGACACTCTACATTACATTGCATTACAGGTGGTACTTATTATTCAAATAAAATACACTAGTGACCTTGCAGTCACTATGTGACTGCCGTGACTTGTGAACTATAAATAAAAAAAAATTTTGTTTTTTTAAATAATGACTTTTGTTAAATTGTACTGTACTTTCTTAAAAATTAACGTTTTTAAAGATATAAGCTCATCACGATGTTACACTCATCAAGAGCTTTCATTTGAGTACCCACATGACATTTTTGATATATTTTTCATATAAACATATATATAATATACATAAATATATAAAATATATGAAAAATTGATGTGGGTACTCAAATGAAAGGTCTTGATGAGTGTAACATCGGGATGAGCTTATATCTTTAAAAATGTGACTATTTCACAAGATACAAGGTACAATTTCTTAATTATTGACATTTTTTAAGATATAAGCTCATCCCGATGTTACACTCATCAAAAGCTTTCATTTGAGTACCCACATCAATTTTTTATATATTTTATATATTTATATATTCCACAAATACCATATATATAAAATATATAAAAAATGCCATGTGGGTACTTAAATGAAAAGTCTCAATAAGTGTAACACCAAAATGAGTTTATATCTTAAAAAATGTCAATAATTAAGAAATGACCTTGTATCTTGTGAAACATTGACATTTTTAAAGATATAAGCTCATACCGATGTTACACTCATCGAGACCTTTAATTTGAGTACCTACATCAATTTCAAGTTTTAAACAACTTTTGTTTGAAAAAATTTTTTATATTACCAACATTTTTGCCGTAATGTCAAAAAATTAAACTATTTAGATTGTTATTATTTTTAATCAGCAGCAAAAATCTTGACGTTATTAGTACAAAGTGTCAAAGTGTCGCTTAGACTGCAATTAGCTTAAATTAATACCGATAATTTTTTTTACTCGTTAATAACATGACACTAATTAATCCGAGTCTCGTGTTAGCGGAAGATTAAATCGTTAAAAATAAAACACAATTTAAAAAATGTAAACACTTGTAATCAATAAAAGGAATCATTAATTATATATATAATGAATAATATAAATTTACGTGCAAGTGTAAATCTGTTATTTTCATTTTTATTATTATTATTATTATTATTATTATTGTCTAGCGTATTCTGCAATCAGAGTGAATGGATCAGCGCAGCAAGAACCGGGACTTATTGTACTTTTAATAAGATAAAAAAATCACCAGACGTATAATAAAAAGAGTAATCTTAGCATTGACAATAATAATTAAAATAAAATTATAAAAAAAAAACCGTTAAGAAAATTAATTGCTTCGTGATCAATTGAGTTGAATATTCAACGATTGTACATTTGCGTTCTATGTAATTTACTCACTCACTTTAACTCCTTCTTTAATAATTGCATAAATATATATTATTATCCACAAACATTTTTTTATGATCTTTACTTAGTTTTTTTTTTTTTTTTTTAAAGTATAATTATCCCATAAATTAATTTTATTATTATCAAACTAGTAATTTAGGAAATGGGTCTTTGGACTTATTTATTTATCCGAGCGCAAATATATAATTAACTATTAATTAAATTTTGTATCAAGTTATTAGAAATTTAGGTACTTATTAAGCAGTTTCTAAGAATTGAAATTTTAGGTAGATTTATTTATGAATTTAAATAGCATTGGCTCAAAAGTTTATACTAGTCGCGTTACTAAAGTCAAAAGGGCGTATCTCAAATATATTCGCCGTGAAAAAGAACAATTTGAAAGAAAAAAAAAATGTTTAAAAAGATCAATTTTGCGAGTTTTTATACTTAATTAAAAATAAGTGGAACCCCACTTCTGTTCAATAATAATAATAATTACTATTATTTGTAATTGATCTTGTGATAGCACTATTATTTTTAAAATTTATTTTGAAAGCATCCAAACTTTTTTTGTGTGATTAATGTAAGCAACCTTGCAGTCACTAAGTGACTGCCGTGACTTGTGAAATATAAATAAATAAAATTTTGCTATATTAAATAATGACTTTTGTCAAATTGCACTGTACTTCTTTAATTATTGACGTTTTTAAAGATATAAGCTCATCTTGATGTTACACTCGTCAAGAGCTTTCATTTGAGTACCCACATGCATTTTTGATATATTTTTCATATATACATATATATAATATATATTTTAAAGATATAAGCTCATTCTGGTGTTACACTCATCAAGACCTTTCATTTGAATACCCACATTAATTTTTCGTATATTTATATATATTATATATATGTATATATGAAAAATATATGAAAAATTGATGTGGGTATTCAAATGAAAGGTCTTGATGAGTGTAACATCGGGGTGAGCTTATATCTTTAAAAAAGACAATAGTTCACAAGATATTTGTTAAATTGCTCTGTACTTTCTTAAATATTGACATTTTTAAAGATATAAGCTCATCCCGATGTTACCCTCATCAAGAGCTTTCATTTGAGTACCCACATGCATTTTTCATATATTTATATATATTACATATATGTATATA